ATGTTGCAAATATACTACCAAAATTTCAAACAATAATATTAATTACTTTGGTTTAGAATGAAAAGTTTATGATTTTTGCGAAAAAGTCCTGTCATTTTTAAAGCGGCGGCCATCTTTTTGCGTAAAACATCAATATACATCTTTCCACCAAATATGAAGAAAATCCGTCAACTAATATTTGAATTATCGTACGGATGGACAGACGGACAGACTGAGGGACTTCTTGTAATATATAGATACACTGTCCCACATGTTTTGTTAAAGAGCAACTGAAGCAAACAATCTTTCGCAAAGATAAATTCAGACCAACTGACAGACTGACTGACTGACTGTCTGACTGACTGACGGACGGAGGGCTTCACTATATCCCTACCGAACTTCGTTCATTGGGATAATTAAAGTAAGAACATGTGCTCTTTTTCGCCACGCATGTAAAAACATGTTTTTTTCCTAAGGGAGAAGCTAACAAAAGGGGGGATTTGAGCAAGAAAAAAATTATCCGTGCTTGCGTGAAAAAATATTTTGGGCCCCCCTAACCAAAAATTGGGCCCAAATTTAGAAAATATTACATTCCACCTAGTTATTAACCTTGTATAGCAATGTATATCCAATAAATGCTAAATTTTCAATGTTCTGGCACATAAAATTTCTTCAAATAACTCTTTTGATACTTCACTTATATTCCACAGATTACTCCATTATTATATTGACATATTCAGGAACCAGTTCATCTAAGTATGTTCATACTATTCTGTATACTTCTGTACATATACTGAGTAATCCAGGAGCACTACAAGACATTACTTCTACTTGAATTTCTATATATTTGAAATTTTGGTAGTACAGGGTGTTGGAAAATACTTATCTAATTGTGTTCATCTTTTCAGGAAAGAAAGACGAGACTGTGCATGTATAGCTCCTGTTCAGTGCTCTCCTTATGCGTCTGACCATGGGACAAATACGACTACACATACTCTGGGCCGACCAGGACTGACAGATTGTTAGTCCGAGTGTCCGAGGCAAAAATACTCACCAAATCATGGTCCGATTGTCCTTCTATCTGTCCTCGGTAATATGACCGAAATACAATTCATTGTCAGCGGTAAATTGCAAATATTAAAAAAATATTTCAAAATATTTGGCAGTTTACGTTTCCGATTGGTGTTGTTTTTTGTTTTCTTTTTGAAGAGTTAAGGGGGAAGGGCGCCACCTGGCGAGCGGAACTACTGGTGAAGAATTGGAAAAGGTTTTCAGTATTTTTTCAAATTAATAAATGCTTACGTTAAATATCAGACTGTAGATGCGTTAATTCAATGCAGGAATTATTGATAATCAGGTAAGACATTGATATGATCATGGACATAAATGGCATTGTATGAAAAGCTACTCCAAAAGTTCAGAAGTGTTTTGAGATGATTTTTTCACAATCATTTTAATTTCGGGAGTACTCTAGCCTACACGCAAAATCATATATGCAAGCAAATTCGATGTGTTTCACAGTCTGGTCTATTTGGATAGCTCAGAATGAGGAAGATACAGCATAAGTACATGTATGTAAAAATTGAATGTTACTCCGGTATTTCATTCTTTCCTGGACTGACAAGAACCAGTCTGGACTGGCTTAGAGGTAGTCAGTCCGGGGCCTGACTACTTTTGGTTTGGACTGATGAAGTCTTCCAACCTGTCAGTCCGTTGGTCCTGTGAGTAATTTTGCCTTAAGGAGAGCACTGCTCCTGTTGTTAGTTAGTTGTAAAACATGATGTCTTGGACACCTGCTCAAAAACATTAGCATTAGCTAGATAAATACGAAAAACGCGAATGGAAAATCGCTTTATCTTGGAAAATACTAATTCAATAATGTTCATTTTTTCAGGAAAGAAAGAACATACTGTGTATGTATAGCTCCTGTAGATGGTTAGTTGAAAAATATGATACATACACAGCCTATTCTTTCTTTCCTGAAAAAATGAACATAATTGAATTAGTATTTTCCAAGATATAGTGATTTCTCCGGGTGTGTTTTTTTTTAACACCCTGTATATTCACAACATCAATCACATCATCACATATATTCTGTGTTTTTCAGCCTTTAGAGTAGATCACAATTATGGTATTGATTGTTTTCTGATTCATGCCTCAGAAAATTCAAAATGGCTGCCTAGAGCAGGAATTCGCTTTAACTTAAAAATCTCTTCCAAATATAGTATAGATACTGTAGATCTCAAATATTGTAATATCTAATATTGAAACTATTAATTGAAATCACAATCATTGATTTTCCAAAGACAGGGTAGATTTGATATTAATAATTAACGGTTTTGCGGGGCGTTTTGCTTTCGATACGCCCCGGTGAGTTAGTACCGCGTGATATTGTATGTCTTTTTATATCTGCCAATTTAATCAAGGGTAGAGTAGATTTTTAATATTACATCATGACATATGCAGTTTTATGAATATTATCGTTTGTTGGGATTTGCTACTCTGTGAAGTTGCCAATTTTAAAGTCTTTTCTGAAATCCTTGATTTGTGCAAGTCATGACAGTGCAACAAAGGATCCGTACCTATTAGTGTACCCATAAGAACTTAGAAAATTATTGAAATGAGTAAAATGGAATTCCAGAATTATTTTTATGCAATTTGAATCTTTATTAGGTATATTTTCAACAAATCACAAAAATAGTGTGGAAAATATGGTAAAAAGGTGTTTTTAACAGTGATTCTTAACACATGTCATATTGACTCTTCAAATGAGTAATTTTGACATATTTTCACAGAACCTTGAATAAAATCTTGAGTTTTGTAGATAGACTAAATTTCACTTGTCAATAAAAGAACTACAATGTGTCCTAATCTACTAAGCTTCATTTGATGTGCCTTTCATGCATAAATAGTTAGTAATCCTATTGTATTGAAAGACACCCTGTTGTGTTTTTGTTGTAAACAGTGAATGACCTTCTCCATTTATTGACAGATTGAGGTACTTCCACAAACCAAACCCCCTCTGAATTTACCTTTATTGTTAAGTAGTGACACTATTTTATAATTCAAACATGAAATAAGAGAGGGTCCTTAGTGTGGAAGATACACAATATGAAAGTATAGCAAAAATTTTAGTTTCAAAAAGGAGGCCATATTGAAATTGCCATTATAGTCAAGAATCCATTCTGCCTTGAATGTATTGCTTACATGGCTTAAAGGGTGACGCATATCGTTTAGCAAATCTAACGCTCGTTTCTGGTGTTGCTCACCGTTTAGTATAAAAGGCCCGATCCCGGAATAATACTCAAGGGTTCACAGGTTCGAGGTCGTTGTGTCAATACCTCTAACTGTTATATAGCATAAGTATATTATAGATCATCACACATTTATAAAAGGGTGATTTTTATTTTGACAAATCAATTCCACATTTATGGGTGAAGTTTCAGGATCTTCTATTTGTGTATAATAAGGAAACATTGGCATCTAAATTTCCCCATAACGTAATAGCACACAGCTTGGCATATGAAATATCCTACAAATGAAACAAAGCAGTTCTAATACAAGGATTTATATTGGCTGTTGTACATGTATTCTTTGAACGCAATCACTCTTTGGATAACGTTTTCAAAATCATTATAAACGGATTACTTTATCTCAAAGACAATTTCAATAAACTGGATTTTACAGAACTCCCCTTATTTCTTAAAAATGGACTGATCCAGTTGATTCTCCTGGAGCCGCCATATTGTTTTTATACGGGATGCTAATCGGAACCCTTTAAAGTAGGTGCAACATAGAACCTTCTACAAAAATAGAAAATCTTATTTGGAGAGACATTCTGAACTGAACCTTCCAACAGACTCTGTATCACGCCACAGAGACATCCAACCCGGGTTCCCATAGATAATTCTGAGCACCATGTTCAAACGTCTAAACAGACATGTATTCAATTTTCAATGATAACAAGATCAAAGAAAACATGTGTCATTTGCAATAAAGCAATTAAATCACAGGTAACTTAAAATATGTTTTTCAAAAATCTGTTCATGGGGTATACTATTAGAACATGTGATAAGTAAGCAATGGGCCTGATAATCGAAAAAATATGTTTCGGCAAGTCATTTGTTTGAATGAATATTGATTGTTAAGTGTTCATATGAAATAAACTAAGACCATTATGTCATCTAACATTGTTTTAATTTTTGACAATGCCAAATGAAAACATAATGCAATGGAAAGTCGCAACTAGATTTAGCTTGAATTTAGGTTTTGTATTTTCAACTGTTGCTCTTTGTGTTCTACCTTATCTTTAATGATGTTTTGACATAATATCTAGGTTGAATACCTAGGTTAAAACTACAGTATACACAATAAGGGTGATCAGGGTACTATTGTTCAGAACACATTGAACAAGGTTCATTTTATCATATTATTTTTAGGGGTTATTTTATGATTTGTGTTTTCAGTATGTTGCCCTTTGTGTCCCACCTTAGTGATATTTTAATATACCCTCTAGGTTGAATGCCTAATGTATACCAACTGAGGTGATCATGGTACTATTGTTGAGAACACATTTATTAAGGTTCATTTTTTTCAAAAGATATATTAAGTTTTTAGTTTTTTTTATGATATGTGTTTTCAATATGTTGCCCTTTGTGTTCTACCTTAACGATGTTCTGATATATCGATCGAGGAATTGTCAACATACTTAAAATGATCATGGATGAAGAATAGCATACCCCTAAAATGATATTTAGAATGATTTGCGTAGTCAAACTTAAATGCACTGAATGACCTTAGTTTTAATCCAAATGACCTAATTTCATTTTTGATGTGTTCATAATTGATAAAAGTAACTATTTCCATATTATTTTCAATGAAACCTTTGGGGGCACCTTCAAGTACATTTGGTAACGGATCCTTTTACTTCTTGGATATAAAACATAAAATGACTAATGTAAAATTACTATTAGCTTATGTCTAATCAATAATAACATGAATCAAAGCCTGAAATATGGTACCTGAGTGCAGACATCTCCTCCTTGTGTTTGTGCTCTATGTCTTCCAGATCCTTCACCCGTGCCCTCTCAGCCTGCTCTTTGGTCATCTCTAGGGAACTCTTGTGAGAGATCATCAAAGCTTGCATGTCTTCTATCTGTTTGCTCTTTAGGTTGTGCTCAAGATCCTAAAATAACATAAACCCTCGTTTATAGCAATATGTGAGGCTGGTCTAAATTTGGAAAGCAAAATCAATGATGGCACTTTTGACATTGACGGCAACAATCAACCCTTATACTCACCACTTGGTAGAGGTCTTATCCTTTATTCTCATGAATCACTGGCAGTAAAAAGTCCTGAACCAGTCTTTTACATAAATAACCTCGACTGCCTTTTCTTGGAAGTATCTGTGAATTTTGAAAAAATGTTAATTGGTGTATCATATAGGTCACCAAGCCAAAATGCAAACGATACTAGAAACTATTTCAGTAGCTTCCAAGATCAGCTATTCCAAATAACTAACTCTAGAAATTTTGACCACATTTTCATTATGGGAGACTGAAACGCTAAACACCCCACTTGGTTTCAAAATGGGAATAATAATTTTTTTTTTTTTTTCATTTCTCATTTATTCCAAATATAACATAAAATACATTACAATATTATTGCCTACGTTTTTCAACATTGTCGGCAATATACAAAACATATAAAAATGGAAACAATGAAAATACAATAGATAAGGTACATAATAATAATGGCAGGGAATGTTAGAGGCTTTCAGGGGGAGGGGGGTTAATCTAAAATATCAAGAGCCTGGCAGATGTAATGGCTAACTATATGAATAATTTGTTCATTATCAGTTACAGTGAGATTTCTGTCTCCAAATAATAAAAATTGAATTTTTTCATGAGAGTTTAAATTTTGGAAACGATTGAAAAATCCTAAGGTTTTTAGTCCTGCTAGGAGAGTGCATCTTTCTTGTTGCAGCAGAGGGCAGTTTAATAAAAAGTGATGCGTTGTTTGTTGTATGTCACCACATACGCAGAAAGGGTCATTTACTGTCACAAAGTTATGGGAATATAAATGTGCTTTTAGAATCAGTCCAGCCCTAAATCTATTGAACAGAATTTCAATTTTCCTTGGCATTGTCATATTCATTTTAGTAGTGGATACTCTGGAGTCAGGGCTCATATTTCCTCTTACTAACCTTTTAAATCTAGATATTGGTTGTCCTTTCCTGTCCTCATATGGTATGTCATCCCACAGGGTCATAGCCCTGATAATGGTTGACTTTTTGAACGAATTACTGATTGGAAAGGGTATTCTATAATGCCTTGGTTGTCTTAGGGGCCGATTTGGAATATTCTCGTATGAACTAACTAAATCACAAATGAAAGGAGGGAAACAATGGTATCTAGCCTTGAAAGCAAAAATTTTAAGATGTTCTTCTCTCCTGGAAGCTAACGTTTTCCAGTTGAGTAATGATAAAACTTTCGATGTGTTTGAACCGTGTATTGCTCCTGACACATGGCAAGCTGCTTGATAATGAAGTCTATCCAATGTTAATAGTTTTGAAGTTGATGCCTTATCATATATTGTATCACAGTAGTCGAAATGTGGTAGTATAAATGAATTATATATATTCTCTAGGTATTTACTGTTTAGCATTTTAGTTAACTTTTTCAATGGTCTCATGAGAGAGATTACTCTCTCTATGAGTTGGTCAACATGTGAATTAAAGTTTAGATTTTGATCAAGTACTAAGCCCAGGTGTTTGTGTTTGGTGCAACTAGGCATCACATCTCCTCCTAGTTTTAAAGGGACTGGCTCTTGTAATAGTCTTCTATTTCCTGAGACAAAGGTTAAGTCAGCACTTTTTTGTGCCTTAAAAGTCATCTTCCAAGTCATGGCCCAATTTGCCAAAATGTCAAGATCTCTTTGAAGTGGTTGGTGAATGTTTAAAATCTGATCAAAACTGTCATGTGCACTATAAATAGATGTATCATCAGCAAAAATAAATGTTTTGGATAGGAGATCATCTGGTAAGTCATTAATGTAAATAAGAAATAGGAGGGGCCCGAGGACTGATCCTTGAGGTACACCTGCATTGATTTTATAGTTATTTATGTTGTGATCATTGTTATTATTATTGTTATTTGTTTGTTGTTTGGGAATAATAATGATAACAATTTAGCTGGTGAACAATTATTTGCTTTATTAGAACACTTCAATTTCACTCAAATGGTTAATCAGCCTATTACCAGGATTTCTGAAACTTCAATATCAAGCATTGACCATATAATTACAAACTCCCCGGATGTTATCAACTCATGTCAAGTCTTGGACCCAATCGGCAGATCCGACCACAGCACCATATTTGCAAAAATTAAAGTCTATACCCCAAAAGATCTACCAATAAAACGTACTGTCTGGTCATATAACCAAGCAAATATTGAAAGTCTCAATTCAGCTATGAGAAATACAGACTGGGAAAATATATTCCAAAATGAGCCAGATACCAACATCATTACCTTGAACTTTACCTCTAAACTTAAAGAACTTTATTCAACTTTTATTCCAAACAAAGTAATTACAATTAAATCAAACGATAAATTCTGGTTTAATGATGACATTAGAACTCAAGTTGACAAAAAGAAGCGGCTCTATAGAAAAATGAAAAATAACCCCACTCTTGAAAATATAAATAAAAATATAAAAACCATGCCAAAAAAGTTGCTAACTTAATAGAAAATGCAAAAACAAAATCTGAAAAACAAGCTATTGATTCCATTTCTAAATTTCTGGTCAGTTATTCGTAGACTCTGTGGCAAGAAAAGAACTTGCTCTTTAATTCCTTCTATTTTTGATAATAATGGTAATTTACATATGAAGAATGTCGACAAAGCAAATGCCTTTCTTAATTTCTTTTCTGATAAAAACCACACCAACGATTTACCCAATTTCATTCCAAACTTCCCTGATAGAACTAACTCTTTTCTTATTTCAATTCAAACGGACCGAGAAGAGGTCATGAAGTTAATATTAGATTTGGACATTCAAAAAGCTACTGGCCCTGACCTTATTTCTAATCACATGTTAAAACTCACAGCTCATACTTTAGCCCAACCCCTATCCCACTCTTCAACATCATGTTATCCAAAGGTGTATTCCCATCTACGTGGAAATTAGCAAATGTATGTCCTATATTCAAGAAAAACGATAAATGTAACATTAACAACTATAGACCAATAGCTCTCTTGAGTACTATTTCTAAACTACTTGAAAAGATCATTGCAAATCGAATAACAAAACATCTCCTTTCTAATGACCTCATTTTCAAATACCAATCTGGCTTCCTCCCTGGCCACAGCACTCAATTTCAACTAGCAGCAATCGAACATTACGTACAAGACAATATAAATAACAAGAAATCTGTAAAAACTATCTTTTTAGACATTGCTTCTGCATTTGACCGTGTCCCCCACACTTTATTACTACACAAACTAAAAGCTTATGGCATAAGGGGCGTGCTGCTCAAACTACTCAAAAATTACTTATAGTCCCCGATCTTATTTCCAAAAGGGCTCTAGAAAAGGGGTTTTGTTGTCCTGTACTTTCCCACATAAAATGATTGTACCGTTTGAAAGAACAGACTTCCCTCTTAAAGAAAACACTTCTTCTATTGATGTAAACAGGGGCAAAAGGCACCAAAACGAGGTTAGACAAGGTGGCTTTCTGAAGTCTCACTTTCTTGTCATCAAGATTCCAGGTAAACCATTAGACGGATTTACTTCAAATTTTCACACATGTTACATGGTCAGAATTTCTAGAGCTGATTAACTTTGCGGCGGCCATCTTGGAATTTTTTTCAGATAAATATTGTCATCACGATTCCACAAAAACCACGTAACAGATGTACTTCAAATGTTCACACATGTAACATGGTAAAAAGTCCTAGACCTCGTTATTTTTTCGGTGGCCATCTTGCATTCTGGCAGCCATCTTGGAAGTTTAAAGATAAATCTTGTCATCACGATTTCAGGAAAACCAAACGGATTTACTTCAAATTTTCACACATATTACATGGTAAGAAGTTCTAGAGCTAAGGTATGAGGTTCCATATCCATCCGCCAAAAGGTATGACCCCTATATAGTCCATTTAAAAACTCGTGGTATTGTTCTAAATAACGCCATAGTTTGCTTCTAGGGTACCTAGTATGCCACTATTTGGTATCAAAATAAAGAGGAGGAGTTCAACTTTCATTTGAATTACGAAAATAGCGATGTAGGTCAAAAATAGTTCCGACGTGAAGGTGTTTACTACGCGTTTGCCCGTCATATCAGAATTGAGGAAGTGGTAGCAAATGCGAGTCACAATAAATGGACGCTGATATCTCAAAAAGTAACCTGACTCCCTATAATTTGATGTAGATCAATCGAACCCCTATATGAACAGGTACATTTTAATATATAACACTATGGGGGGTAAGCGTTTTATAGTTGGTCACGAACGCCATATGTGCAAAGTATTGTTATGAATTTTCGAATTTGGTGTTGGATTACGGTACTCATACCCTAATTAACCTTTCGGTGGCCATCTTGCATTCTGGCGGCCATCTTGGAAGTTTTTTGGATAAATCTTGTCATTGTGATTCCAGGAAAACCACTTTACTGATTTTCTTGAAACTTTTACACATGTTACAAGGAAGGTTACATGCAACCTTTTATATTGATATAAACAGGGGCAAAAGGCAGTAAAGTGGGGTTACACAAGGTGGTATTCTAAGGAGAATGTTATCTATTTTTCTGTATTTTAAACCACATAATTTGACATAAATGCATATTTGGTGTATGATATCATGTTTTATATTGATAGAAACATGGGCAAGAGGCGCTACAATGGGGTAACAGATGGTGATATTCTAAAATACATATCTTTACTCTGCTTCTGTACTTTATACCACTTAAATGCATTTTGTGTATGACATCGATTGATTTTTAGAATAAATAACTACATTTCATCAAAAAGAAAAAAGATTATTGAAAACGTCAAACATGTCTTTGAAATCCATTATTGCACAGCGATTTTTGAGAGCGAAATGTATGCTAAATTGGCCTTGGTCTGAGTATATAACGGAATTAAAGCTCTTTTAAACGAAAATGTAAATGTGTGGAAAACCTTTCACT